GATGGACCACGCCCCAAAGGCCCACGCAGGACCACGGGGCGATTGGCCGCAGCCGACTGCCTCCTCAAGCCCCAACACCCTGATTGGTTCCGGAACCTCGGAACCCCGCCCCTGGCCTGGGCCTGTTCTCCGGCGGCACGCCCCATTCAGGCTCTGGCAACGGGATTGGTTCCTCTGCTCAGGAGGTAACCCCAGGATTGGTCCGGATTCCGCGACCGAGCAAGTGTGACCACGTTCCGGGAATCGGTTGCTCTTCTTTCAGATACACTTGATTGGCACGTCCACGCCCCTTAGGCAATCGTACAGCTCCGGATTGGTCAAGTCCCCTACAGGTTCTGTCTCTAGTCCTTGCCACGTCCCCAGGCGTAATGCGTACTTCATCCGGCACAGGTCTTGGACCAGCCGCAAGCTGGGCACAGGCCATGTCTTTCTAGGTCGATCTCAGTACTAGGGTTGGTCACTTTCCCGTCAAGCCCCGCCCTTGAACCTGGCCACGCCCCAAAATAAGTCGCACGCGGTTCAGATTCCTACTTGGGGACGGGCCTCAGTGCGTGACCACGCCCCTAGGCAGATTCTGACGCAGCAAGTGGCCACGTTTTCGCTATGTCCCGCCCCATAATTACCTCTGGCTCTTGTCAAACCCAGTCCCGTCCCGCCCGCGCCCTAATCTGAGCATGGCGATATGCCTAGCACCTATTATAGTCCAGCCCCTATGTTAGGTCCCACCTCCGGGAGTCAGACCATTCCTAACCTAGGGCCTGCTGAGCTAGAAATAGCGAGATCTGACCTCACTGATCCTGGCTGGCCTCACCTTTCCCCTCCAGAAATCTGCTGGGGGAGCACAAGCTCTTCCTCTACGCCAGTCCCGAACTCGGCGCGCGCGCGCAGCCCGTGTCCGTGGCCGCGGCACTCAATAAAGTTGCATGCTTGTTGCGGGCCTGTCCGCCAGGGGTGCTGCGCGCGCCTCCCCGGAAGTCTCGCGATAGCGAGCGGCGGCTGCCCTTGGCCCTGGGTAGTGCCGGCCGTGTAGTGCGGCGCTCGGGGTCGCAGCCATGGCGCGTCTTATTCAGCGGTACTGGGACATCCCTGACGGCACCGAGTGTCACCGCAAGGCCTACGCCAGCACTAGTATCACTGGCGCCGTTGGTGAGCACCGACTGGCCGGGCCCGGGGGCGGAGGGTGCAGGGAGGTCATAGGGTCACTGGGGGCTGTCCGAGGGTGGCCTGGGGGACTGTGGGTCTCGCGGGGTGGCATATGGTTTTCCTCAGCGTGTCTGGGGATACCCTGTACGAGATAGACTTTGTGGGGTGTCGGACTAATTCAGAGGGCGCGGGGAGACCGTAGGGCCAGCGGGAGCTGTCCAAGGGGTCACATCCGGGCTGGGAATGTCGCGGGGTAGTACGTCATCCTCGACGGGGTGTCCCGGGCGGTCATGGGGAACTCGTGAGAGAGACGTTTGCGGGGTGGGGTCTAGCAGGATTGGAGGGCACCAGGAGGTTGTGGTACGTGTCACAGGCTGGTTACTGGGATTGTCAGAGTGATCCCTGGGTTCCGGGGTCTGGGGGTTATTGTTGAAGGGACACAGGCTCTTTGGAAGACGTGGAGTGAGACAGGGCCATTATCGAGGTCAAAGGAGCCGGAGGATCAGGAGACTTTCTAACGGGGTAATGTTGAGATTATTGGGGGTGGGGTGGGGGTGGTGTAATGGGTTATTATTGGGATGTCTGAGTGGGGTACAGAAGATTTGAGAAAGTTCTGGACTGGGATGAGGTCTTTTTAGGGTTCAGGACAGTTGTGTGGTCAGGGACATCTGAAGTTTTATTGGGGCCACCAGAGGGATCCTAGGAGTGCGGAGGAGATCATAGGTGAAGTGAGTCAGGGCCACTGAGAGGAAAGCCTTGGGGTGTGAGGGGACTCACAGCACTGGCGTTCCCCTGCAGGCGAGACCCCCAAGTCTCACTCCTTTTATTCTAGTCTCCCTGAGACGTAGATTTGGTGGTTTTGGCCACCTTTGTATCTACAGCTCCAGAAACAGGGCACGGCAGAAGTCGAGAACACTGGGAGGCATTTGCATAAGGATAAACCTAATAATCCCCATCATTATCTGTATATTTAGTGAGACCATTATCTCCATTTCTCAGAGGTGGAAACTGAAGGTTGGAGAGGTGTATTAACTGCCCCGGGGTCTTTTGAAGCCAGGCTGCATATCCAGGTCTGCTGATCTTCCGGGGGTGCCTGGGGCAAGGAGTGTGTGCACTGGGTCCTTATGGAGGGTGGGTCCCAGGGGGTGGGTTATATAGAGTCTACTTGAATGGCAAGTTATTGGAACAGTTTAGGGCAGCGGTTCTCAACCTGTGGGTCGAGACCCCTTTGGGGGTCGAATGACCCTTTCACAGGGGTCGCCTAAGACCATCGGAAAGCACATATATAATTACATATTGCTTTTGTGATTAATCACTATGTTTTAATTATGTTCAATTTGTAACAGTGAAATTGGGGGTCACCACAACATGAGGAACTGTATTAAAGGGTCGCGGCATTAGGAAGGTTGAGAACCACTGGTTTAGGGCATGTGGTGGGATCTCTATGGGAGCCCCGGAGGGCTGCACAGTGTGGGATTGGCTCACTGCATTCTTTTGGGGAGATGCTGACACTGGTGAGTGCCTGGAAGGTCTTGATTGTGTCTCAGGAATTTAAAGCCCAGGAGGGTGGGGCTTTCAGGGAGAAGATTGGGAGAAGTGATGCTTTGTATTAAAGGGTCGCGGCATTAGGAAGGTTGAGAACCACTGGTTTAGGGCATGTGGTGGGATCTCTATGGGAGCCCTGGAGGGCTGCACAGTGTGGGATTGGCTCACTGCAGGAGTTTTCTCGTGCATTCTTTTGGGGAGATGCTGACACTGGTGAATGCCTGGAAGGTCTTGATTGTGTCTCAGGAAATTAAAGCCGAAAAGAGCTCAGTGCCCCTGATTAAGTTGTCAGGTATTGCGTATTTTAGAAATTCTTTCAGCACACTAGTGTGCCACGGCACACCTGTTGAAAATCGCTGCTTTAGGGGATTTTGAAACCGAGAAAGACATTAATGCTGGTGTGAACAGAAAATATATTTTTTGCCTATCTGACAAAAAAAAATAGGTGTAATTTGGATTTATTGACACCAGATGGTTATTGTTGTGTTGGCTATTGTCATTTTATTTCTTTGACAATCTAAGGGAAAAGAGCTCAGTGCCCCTGATTAAGTTGTCAGGTAATGCATATTTTAGAAATTCTTTCAGCACACTAGTGTGCCATGGCACACCGGTTGAAAATCGCTGCTTTAGGGGATTTGAAACCGAGAAAGACATTAATGCTGGTGTCTGTGAGTGGGAGTGTACATGTGTGCTCTCACTGGCAAACACCATTCAACTTGACTTCTGGATCCTCCCTCACCTACCCAGTCCCTCATTCCCTACCTCCCCTCAGCCCTCACAAGAGGACTGGTTTCATGTTTCGCTTCCCTGGGCCCGTGAGCCCCTGGAGGGAGCCCTACGGTCAGCAGAGCCCAGCACCTTGTAGACATGCCATAACTTTTTGAAGGAAAGAAGGAAGACAGTAACTGTGAATGAATGAATGAATGAATCAGGGCACATAGTGACTATGTGAGTGAATGAATTTTTGAATGATGGTTGTGGGTACAGTAACTATTTGTGAGTGAATAAATGAACCAGGGTCCTGAGTAATTGAATGAATGGATGGATGTGGGTGCATAGTAACTGAGTGAATGAATGATTGATGGCACACAGTAACTGTAAATTAATGAATGAACAAATGTGCACTGTGTCTGGAGGCCACTATGGGAGACAGAGAAGAAGCCCAGAGCAGACTGAAGGATTGGAAAGGTGTGAGTCAGAGATCCTTGTGTGCTGGGGGTCGCAGCATCTGAGGAGTTGAGCAAGCTCCTGGAGAGGTGGGCTGTGTGTCAGGCCACCATGCTGGGTGATTGCTTCGGGACAGTTGGGGTGAAGCAGTCTTGACCCTGGGACAATTGAGGAGTTGAGCAAGCTCCTGGAGAGGTGGGCTGTGTCAGGCCACCATGCTGGATGATTGCTTCGGGACAGTTGGGGTGGAGCAGTCTTGACCCTGGGACAACCAGGGGGCTCTCAGGTCACTTGCTCCCAGTTCAAGGACTTCTCAGGACATGCAGGATGGTAGGGGCACACTGTGTGTCCATCATGGCCAGGACCACAGGCATACGGGATGGGTTGATAAGGTGCCCCCCAGGGCTCACTGCATGACTGGGTTTGGGGACATCACTGAATCTTGTAAGGGGTTCCCCTTCAGGGCAGCCTAAGATCCTTGTTCCCGGCCCAGCTCCTGAGACCAAGACTCACAGGTCCCAGACAGGACTGGGAGGCCCCACCAAATAAGTCTTTAAAGGGACCACAGCAGCCCCAGTGAGCTGCATCCCAGCCCAGGCTAGGGTGGGGTACTGCTCAGCCTAGAGGTCCCATGGGCGGGTCCTGAGAAGCAGGTGAAGCCTACTGCCCGGGGCTGCCGTGAGGGGTAGACCGTGGCCCCAGGGTCAGAATCATCCCCCTTGCAGTCTGCTCTGCTTAATGACCTCAGGCAAGTCACTCCGCCTCTCTGCCGCCCCTCCCCTCCCAGGAAGCAACAGATGAAGGGTACTGAGCCCCTTGGGTCCTGAGGAGGGCAAGTGCAGCCACCCAGCAGGTGACAGTTCTCTTGTCTGGGATGAAATGGGCTTGCCTCAAGATATACCTGAGCTAGGCAGCACTGGGGGTCTGTAGGGAGAGGAGGGGTGTGTTGTTGCCCTGAGCAG